TACCAAAAAGCTCTGAGTGTTATACTGTACATGATCTCATAGGAGACTCAAAAACCAATATTACCTCCCACTGTGTACATTCAATCAAGTGAGTCTCGGACACTTAGCACTCAGTAAGCGCATACGTGTGTGTGTGTGTGTAGTTGGCAAAAAGATGGTTAAATTCCACCTGTCTCTGCCTCTCACTGCCACAGAATGCGTATGACAGGTTGCCTGGTCATTGTGCACAACAGTCTTAGAGGGATGTCATGGTCCGAATGCTTGCAGGGTTATGCTGGGTCAGGCATTTAGCAGGCTTACGCCAGCGTATAAGGACTGCTACAGTACCAGGAAAACAGATGCACCTGTCAATAGGGGGAAGGAAACTCAAGGGGGCCGGGAGGGATGGAGGCAGGGGGCCGAGGCCTTAATGGAAATGCTGAGTTTATTTACCTGTCTGAATCAGCTGCTGAAACATAGTTAACTGTTTCATGCACAGACACAGACAGAATGGAAATTCTTGCTGAGCTGCATCTAATCTGCACCCTCACTACGTCTAATGATCCTGGTTGACTTTTATAGTGATAATTTTCCAATTTTTCCTGAAAGAAAAAGTCCCCCGCCCCCCCGGCAAATTAGGGCAGGAGGAATCTTCAAGATCATGTGAGAGAGCATGAATCTCACGGCTTGTTGTTCCAGCAGTCATGCTCTTGTGCTTGGGTGTTTTGTAATGTTGAAAAAGTAGCCCTAGTCTTTCGCTGACATAGACAAAGAGGCCCACTAGAGTACGGAGGCAACCCTTGTATTTGTAACTGTCAGGGAGGAACAGTTGGACATATGACCTTGTGTGCGTCCTTGGTGACTTGACAGTGTGTGTACACAAAAGCAACGGGGCAGAGACACTTGCAGCTGCCGCCATTTTCCGTCATCACATGACTGCTTACACCCGCTCTATCAAACGCCCAAACCCACAAGTCAGTTCTGGCACAACTTAATGCTCATCCATCTGGGTGGAAAATGTGGCTCAGAGGCCTGGGAGACAACCTCTGAGGTTTTCTGTGAATGATAATTGTAATATGCTATTTTTCTTTTTCATGAGAAGCCATATAAAAACCCTTGATAATATCCTTTATGTCCTCATAAAGGGCAGAGTCACTTCAACATCCATCACTGGCTCATAACAGTTTGGCCTAGATTTCCAAATATCAAGAGAGAGAAGGGGGTGGTGTTCTCTACTGTAATATGCCAGGTTTACTCTAAGCAGAGGAGATGTGATTGAGGGAGACCCGCTTATCCGGGCGCATGAGGAGCAGCGGTAAAACTACTCCATTAGGATGAAGAAAGAGGGCGACATACGTCCTGAAAATGATATCCCCTATTACAAATCAACCATAAAAACAGGAAGCAGATTCAGAAACCCCTGCGAAGCGAAACATCTATTGACAGAGGAGCTGATGCAGTCACCCCAGAGGACTTTCCCGCAGGGCTGGAATCGACACCGCTCGGCACTGTGAACTCTGTGAGGGCACCCAGTATGTCACCTAATGAGACGCACAAAATGAGATGATTAACCATCTGCATCTTTTATCTCTGAGTGTGTGGGTACATGTGTGTGACAGGCCAGCCTTCACACGCAGCGTTGTGCTCCCTTTAGTGTGTCAAACACATTTCAATGTTGCAGAATTTTAAGGAGCGAAAGTGCTAACCTGCTAAAGCAAGAATCACTATTGCTCATACTGAACAAACCCTTAATTCTAAGTATTAAACTCTGGTATGTATCATCGTACTACAGACATGAATGATTACTCAAATCATGTGGCTTGTTGAGCAGAAGTGTGATACTATTTATCTAAGGGATCTGACAATGGATGTGCGGGTCTAGTCGACACTGAAAACAATAGTCGATTACACGACAGAAAAAAAAACATAATTATCATTCAAATTTTCCATCATTTTATGTTACAATCAAATTACCATTGTTACATTTAAAACATTTTAAATAACAAGTTAAAATAAAACATTTGAAAAATAATACATTATTTTTAAAAGTGTATCTGGGCGTAAACTACATTTTTACCTCAGACCTCGTATGAGTTTTCTTTGTGTCAGTTGTGGCGAGCTCAAAAGTGACCACAAGAAAGACGAGTAAGGTGTGGGATTATTTTGAATTAGAAGGAAACTGAAAAGTTGTGTGTAAACTGTGTAATGTCAAACTGGCTTACAATAACTCTGCTGGAGCCATGCGTAATCATATTCAATACAGGCATGTAGGCATTAGCTTAGAGACTAGCCAAAGCCAGCTAATGTCAATCACGTCATTCACAACAGCCCGCCGCCACTGCGATCCCGTCCGCGCCGTCTATTCATCTAACGAAGACCCACTTTGGTGGTGGTGCGGGATGTCCAGGCGCTTTCTGAAATTCCGTTGGCTTGCTTTTCGCTATCTCTGCGTGCCTTTCTTTTTTTTCAGTTTCCTGCAGAGCGAACAATTTTCCATTGTTCTGCATTTCACCAGCTGATTTTAATAAATAAGCATTGGCTGACGTTGAGTGTGTGCTCTTCTTTTTTTTTTCTTTTTAACGACCGTCTAAAATTAAATGATGATAACGCAAGGCAAGCGTACGGCATAATTGTGACCTATTTTTAGCGCAATTCATTGAGGGATTTGACAGTGTGATTCATAGATTAAGTATTTCTAATGTAGGCTATTATATACATGCAGATAGTTTATTTTTTTTCTTACCATCTTTTGGGGGTTTCTTGCTTTTAGACTAGTCGACTCGGATACAAAACTTCCGTTTAAACGACAGTAAAATTAGTCGTCGCGCACATCCCTAGAAAAAACACATTGCACTGAATGAATGACCCAGGTCATGAAGTCATGAAAGATACAGACTTTAAGGTGGGCCAGTCAACAACCACATAACAACCACCCAGAACACAATAGTAACCACCTAGCCACCTAGCAAAACACCTTTGCAACAGTATAACAACCCCCTGGCAACAATCTAGAACACAACCTTAGCAACTGCATAACATCACAGTAAAAACCTTTTAGAACATCTTCGCAAGCACATACAAATCCCTTGTGCAACTACCCACAACACATTAATGTCATGGAGGCGACTTTTGCATCATTCACATTTTCTTTCTTTTATTTAGTATCTAAATTTTTTTGCACTGTATGCATAAGTTACAGTACACACACTACTGTTCAAAAATGTGGTGTGAGTGATTTTCTTTTCTTTTTTAAAGACATGAATGATTTTATTCAGAACATATGCAAATTTATCAAAAGTGCTAGTAATAACGTTTATATTACTTCAAATAAATGCTGTTTTTTTTTTACTTTCTATTCATCAAAGAATCCTGAAAAACATATCATGGTTTCCACAGAAATATTACTCAGCACAACTCTTTGTAACATTGATAATAATAAGAAATGTTTCTTGAGCATCAAATCAGCATATTAGAATGATTTCTGAAGCATCATGTGACACTGAAGACTGAAGTAATGGCTGCTAAAAAAGCACCTTTCCTATCACAGGAAAAAATTTCATTAAAATATATTAAATATATTTATATATTAAAATAGAAAACAGTTATTTTACATTTTTACAATATTTTACAATAACACACTTTTACTGTATTTTGATCAAATAATTGTAGCCATAGTGAGCATAAGATATTTCTTTCAAAAACATTTTTTAAAATTTGATGACCCCAAACTTTTGAACAGTAATGTATATCTCTTGATACTCTCTCGATATCACCCCTTGATACTTGATTAATAAAGAGTTTTTTCTGTAACACACATGCACCTCTCTGCAACAAGCAATATGTAGAAAGTGAGAGACTAACACGACATCTAATTTTATATGATGTAAGGTACAACTGAGCAAGACTAACACTGAATTTATGTTTTAAATCTTTTAAAATTTGTGTTGTATAATGTTTTATACAATATTTTCAGTTTTGGCTTCTGGCCAATCCAGACTTTTTTAGTTTCCGTTTCAGTTTTATCTCAAAGATACTCAAAAGGCAAGCACTCAAAGAAACTAACAAACTAGCATCAAAGCATAGAAATGTGAATATAAACCAATCTGATTCACAGAATCTCCCACAAGTCAGTTACACAAGATAATCTCAATCAAATCTTCCCATCGTGATTTCAAGCAATATTTGTACTGATGAGTACACCTCCAGAGAGCGTGTGCTGGCCTGTGGAGGGTGAGCGTTTGGGAATTGTTGAGGTCAGTAATGGGTGTTGTTGGAACATCAAACATTATTTTGCAGCGATGCAGTTCAGCAGTGTTTTTGCACTTTACTATGATCATGCCTCCCTCCTACATAGCAACAGAGATAAAAGGATGACTAATGTGTCCAGTGCAGAAAAACATGCATTTAACTCTCGTGCTATAACTTGAAGACATAAATTGCACAAGGGCCAAATGCAAAACAGCTATTTATGGATTTTCAGGTTGCAAGGTTCCTCTTAAAGGTTGAGTATAAATCTAAAAAGCTTTCTGTTGAATCAATTTTTTACAGTAAACACATTTACTGTAATTGTATCTACTATTTGTATGACAGTCATTCTGTCTGTCTCTCATGGTTCACACTAGGGCTGGTGCGGCCCAGCCACAGAGCCCACTGCTGTCAGACCTGCTTAAAGATCAGATGGTATTAAAGCTTGCTGTCGTCATGGAGACCACTTCCAGGAGACTACTAATTGATGTCACTTCCTAGTGCTGAGAAGGTGTGAAACACAAAGCATAACAAGAAACATATAGATGTCTGTACATAGCAGCTGGGAAACAACATTACTGTTCCATTACTACAGATTTCTCAATGTGAGATGTAGAAAAAACAACATCTGTATTGAACTTTCAAAGCAAAGCAATAAGACAGAAAACACATCTCTTGATATATAAGCCATTACAATCCCACAATCCTGTGACGGTGCAGAACCTGCCCCACTTTTGCTGGTAGAAATGAAAAAACGTAGAGGGAATAGCACTAACCTGCGCTGCCTGTGCTGGGGGGCCTCTGTGGGGCCCCGGCAGACACTAAGTTTCTGTGCAGGGAACCCTGTGGAGGAGACAGCATGGCACCGTCACTCAGAGAGGCAGTGGCGACCGACAGGCTCTGGCTGCTCAGAGAGGCCCCGGGGATGTAGGACATGGCGTTGGGGTTCGTCACTGGCACAGCCACATGCATGGAGAAGTTCTGCGGGGGCAAGGCTGTCGGCTGGAAGAGAGACACACAAAAAAGGCTTAATGTGGGAGGCATCAAAGACTCTTAAAGCAACCTGTCATGCTTATATTTCATCTAAATATCCCAGTATCAAAATTGACATTCACACAGATACTAAATTATCTCAAGAAGAAACGATACAATCAGAGAATGGTGGCGAGTTGGTTCTGTGCAGCGGTTTGAATTCATTCAGCCTGGATATTCAGGTAGAATTGCCCATAATGGTACACTGCACATATCTTCAGGCTTCAACTAGAAGTGAAAGATGACCCCTGAGCTTTGGTGCTTTTATCATACAATGGAGGAAAACAGGAGATAGATTGCCGGGTGGAAAAATTTAATCTCAGGAGGGAGATCTCGGGATCACCTTGGGCTGTCCAAAAAGCCTGGCATAAAGTGAGAAATACTCCTGAAAAACAATTCTCCTATTGGGAGTCATTTTCACTGTGCTCGGAACACCAATTTTGACCCAGGTTCATTACATAAAACAACATCTTGGGATGAGATATATTACAAAGGCATGCAAATTTGGGAAATATATTGAAATAGCTTTCGAGTCAAACATGGCTATAGCCAGCACTGCACTTGGCCCTTTCACGAAACAAAACAAATTAAAACACAGAAAAACACAATATACTTAGATTTTTTGTAATCAATATATAGACATTTTATATGGGGAAAAAAGAGGTGAAATAGCTACAACTAATCATAAGGAAGCATCTCTGGCATCATAATCAATTCAACAGGCAGTGCATTGCTGACTATCCACACAGTTATCCAGAGCGAGTGTGAGCAAGGACAGTGTCCATTCACTTAATAGTGAAGCGAGCCAGTTAGTGAAAATATTAGTGTGTTAATGACACAAAGAACTCTAGTTTTGTTTATGTCCATTCGGTGCAGTGGAAACAATTGGCTGGCACCCACTATCAGGTACAGAATGATATGGTCACCACCCAATAAGATCACTATTGTCTCAATAAAAAAAAAAAAACTGTAATTAAATACTCTGAGATTTATTTGTTACCAGCTTTAACTTGAAAATGGTTCAGTTATTTGATTGTACTAGGACTCAGGTGTTGCCACCAGGTGTTGCCACCCACCAGAAAGTGTGAGACTAAAAGAAATAAGTTCTAATGAGTGGAGGAGAAATGGTGTGAGAGTCTCTCCATCGTTATACAGTGGCAAATCTTCTCCATCACATGACCTGGACAGACCACAGCACTGAGAGAAAAGATTCAATTTCCAGATCTTTTGGGGAGAGTGCTGGGAAGAACACATCAATTACCTCAACCAATGAATCTGTCAGTATTCTAGCCAGAAGGTGGACATAGAGACACTCTCTTTGGAAAAAAAAATACTGTAAAGAGATCACAATTGTACTATTTTTTTAATACAGTGAGGCCCGAAAATCCACACCAAAATGTTTTTACATTTATAAATTTGGAAATAAACAGGTTTGTGCAGTTTAATATAAGCTAATTTGTGATGTTAACAATGTTAATTAAACTTTTCACTAAAATTTTATGCTGATAATATAATTTGTAATTAAAAATCTATTCAACTACAAAATGGAAAAATCTAAATTTTATACTTCAGTGTATGTACAGAATCTAAAAAGTGCTTATTATTTTAGAAATTGATCAAAACATTTTTCAAATTGTGATCTTAATAATGTGAAAGGTTTAAAAATTGTGATCTTATTAGGGTGAGAGAAAAAGGCTGTAAAATTAATGAGAAAAAAGTGCACTTCTGACAGACAAAAAAAAACTATAAAGAGTACGCTTTAAAAAACTGTTGACAGAGGTTGCAGGGTGAGGCAATGAAAAAAGTGTGTGGGGGGGTACCCTTTCTGCCACAAAGCCAAGCAAAAACGTTGCATTTACTTACGATTTTATGATTTCGCATCATATTATCAAACTCTTCATTAATTTTTTTATATTTTTCTTCTGTGTGAGGGGTGAGGACATATGAGGCATCAGGATCCGGGCTATCACAGCCTCTGTGTTCTTTCTTTATCATTCAAATTTTCCATCATTTTATGTTACAATCAAATTACCATTGTTACATTTAAAACATTTTAAATAACAAGTTAAAATAAAACATTTGAAAAATAATACATTATTTTTAAAAGTGTATCTGGGCGTAAACTACATTTTTACCTCAGACCTCGTATGAGTTTTCTTTGTGTCAGTTGTGGCGAGCTCAAAAGTGACCACAAGAAAGACGAGTAAGGTGTGGGATTATTTTGAATTAGAAGGAAACTGAAAAGTTGTGTGTAAACTGTGTAATGTCAAACTGGCTTACAATAACTCTGCTGGAGCCATGCGTAATCATATTCAATACAGGCATGTAGGCATTAGCTTAGAGACTAGCCAAAGCCAGCTAATGTCAATCACGTCATTCACAACAGCCCGCCGCCACTGCGATCCCGTCCGCGCCGTCTATTCATCTAACGAAGACCCACTTTGGTGGTGGTGCGGGATGTCCAGGCGCTTTCTGAAATTCCGTTGGCTTGCTTTTCGCTATCTCTGCGTGCCTTTCTTTTTTTTCAGTTTCCTGCAGAGCGAACAATTTTCCATTGTTCTGCATTTCACCAGCTGATTTTAATAAATAAGCATTGGCTGACGTTGAGTGTGTGCTCTTCTTTTTTTTTTCTTTTTAACGACCGTCTAAAATTAAATGATGATAACGCAAGGCAAGCGTACGGCATAATTGTGACCTATTTTTAGCGCAATTCATTGAGGGATTTGACAGTGTGATTCATAGATTAAGTATTTCTAATGTAGGCTATTATATACATGCAGATAGTTTATTTTTTTTCTTACCATCTTTTGGGGGTTTCTTGCTTTTAGACTAGTCGACTCGGATACAAAACTTCCGTTTAAACGACAGTAAAATTAGTCGTCGCGCACATCCCTAGAAAAAACACATTGCACTGAATGAATGACCCAGGTCATGAAAGACAATTTCATACAGACTTTAAGGTGGGCCAGTCAACAACCACATAACAACCACCCAGAACACAATAGTAACCACCTAGCAACACAATATAACACCTTTGCAACAGTATAACAACCCCCTGGCAACAATCTAGAACACAACCTTAGCAACTGCATAACATCACAGTAAAAACCTTTTAGAACATCTTCGCAAGCACATACAAATCCCTTGTGCAACTACCCACAACACATTAATGTCATGGAGGCGACTTTTGCATCATTCACATTTTCTTTCTTTTATTTAGTATCTAAATTTTTTTGCACTGTATGCATAAGTTACAGTACACACACTACTGTTCAAAAATGTGGTGTGAGTGATTTTCTTTTCTTTTTTAAAGACATGAATGATTTTATTCAGAACATATGCAAATTTATCAAAAGTGCTAGTAATAACGTTTATATTACTTCAAATAAATGCTGTTTTTTTTTTACTTTCTATTCATCAAAGAATCCTGAAAAACATATCATGGTTTCCACAGAAATATTACTCAGCACAACTCTTTGTAACATTGATAATAATAAGAAATGTTTCTTGAGCATCAAATCAGCATATTAGAATGATTTCTGAAGCATCATGTGACACTGAAGACTGAAGTAATGGCTGCTAAAAAAGCACCTTTCCTATCACAGGAAAAAATTTCATTAAAATATATTAAATATATTTATATATTAAAATAGAAAACAGTTATTTTACATTTTTACAATATTTTACAATAACACACTTTTACTGTATTTTGATCAAATAATTGTAGCCATAGTGAGCATAAGATATTTCTTTCAAAAACATTTTTTAAAATTTGATGACCCCAAACTTTTGAACAGTAATGTATATCTCTTGATACTCTCTCGATATCACCCCTTGATACTTGATTAATAAAGAGTTTTTTCTGTAACACACATGCACCTCTCTGCAACAAGCAATATGTAGAAAGTGAGAGACTAACACGACATCTAATTTTATATGATGTAAGGTACAACTGAGCAAGACTAACACTGAATTTATGTTTTAAATCTTTTAAAATTTGTGTTGTATAATGTTTTATACAATATTTTCAGTTTTGGCTTCTGGCCAATCCAGACTTTTTTAGTTTCCGTTTCAGTTTTATCTCAAAGATACTCAAAAGGCAAGCACTCAAAGAAACTAACAAACTAGCATCAAAGCATAGAAATGTGAATATAAACCAATCTGATTCACAGAATCTCCCACAAGTCAGTTACACAAGATAATCTCAATCAAATCTTCCCATCGTGATTTCAAGCAATATTTGTACTGATGAGTACACCTCCAGAGAGCGTGTGCTGGCCTGTGGAGGGTGAGCGTTTGGGAATTGTTGAGGTCAGTAATGGGTGTTGTTGGAACATCAAACATTATTTTGCAGCGATGCAGTTCAGCAGTGTTTTTGCACTTTACTATGATCATGCCTCCCTCCTACATAGCAACAGAGATAAAAGGATGACTAATGTGTCCAGTGCAGAAAAACATGCATTTAACTCTCGTGCTATAACTTGAAGACATAAATTGCACAAGGGCCAAATGCAAAACAGCTATTTATGGATTTTCAGGTTGCAAGGTTCCTCTTAAAGGTTGAGTATAAATCTAAAAAGCTTTCTGTTGAATCAATTTTTTACAGTAAACACATTTACTGTAATTGTATCTACTATTTGTATGACAGTCATTCTGTCTGTCTCTCATGGTTCACACTAGGGCTGGTGCGGCCCAGCCACAGAGCCCACTGCTGTCAGACCTGCTTAAAGATCAGATGGTATTAAAGCTTGCTGTCGTCATGGAGACCACTTCCAGGAGACTACTAATTGATGTCACTTCCTAGTGCTGAGAAGGTGTGAAACACAAAGCATAACAAGAAACATATAGATGTCTGTACATAGCAGCTGGGAAACAACATTACTGTTCCATTACTACAGATTTCTCAATGTGAGATGTAGAAAAAACAACATCTGTATTGAACTTTCAAAGCAAAGCAATAAGACAGAAAACACATCTCTTGATATATAAGCCATTACAATCCCACAATCCTGTGACGGTGCAGAACCTGCCCCACTTTTGCTGGTAGAAATGAAAAAACGTAGAGGGAATAGCACTAACCTGCGCTGCCTGTGCTGGGGGGCCTCTGTGGGGCCCCGGCAGACACTAAGTTTCTGTGCAGGGAACCCTGTGGAGGAGACAGCATGGCACCGTCACTCAGAGAGGCAGTGGCGACCGACAGGCTCTGGCTGCTCAGAGAGGCCCCGGGGATGTAGGACATGGCGTTGGGGTTCGTCACTGGCACAGCCACATGCATGGAGAAGTTCTGCGGGGGCAAGGCTGTCGGCTGGAAGAGAGACACACAAAAAAGGCTTAATGTGGGAGGCATCAAAGACTCTTAAAGCAACCTGTCATGCTTATATTTCATCTAAATATCCCAGTATCAAAATTGACATTCACACAGATACTAAATTATCTCAAGAAGAAACGATACAATCAGAGAATGGTGGCGAGTTGGTTCTGTGCAGCGGTTTGAATTCATTCAGCCTGGATATTCAGGTAGAATTGCCCATAATGGTACACTGCACATATCTTCAGGCTTCAACTAGAAGTGAAAGATGACCCCTGAGCTTTGGTGCTTTTATCATACAATGGAGGAAAACAGGAGATAGATTGCCGGGTGGAAAAATTTAATCTCAGGAGGGAGATCTCGGGATCACCTTGGGCTGTCCAAAAAGCCTGGCATAAAGTGAGAAATACTCCTGAAAAACAATTCTCCTATTGGGAGTCATTTTCACTGTGCTCGGAACACCAATTTTGACCCAGGTTCATTACATAAAACAACATCTTGGGATGAGATATATTACAAAGGCATGCAAATTTGGGAAATATATTGAAATAGCTTTCGAGTCAAACATGGCTATAGCCAGCACTGCACTTGGCCCTTTCACGAAACAAAACAAATTAAAACACAGAAAAACACAATATACTTAGATTTTTTGTAATCAATATATAGACATTTTATATGGGGAAAAAAGAGGTGAAATAGCTACAACTAATCATAAGGAAGCATCTCTGGCATCATAATCAATTCAACAGGCAGTGCATTGCTGACTATCCACACAGTTATCCAGAGCGAGTGTGAGCAAGGACAGTGTCCATTCACTTAATAGTGAAGCGAGCCAGTTAGTGAAAATATTAGTGTGTTAATGACACAAAGAACTCTAGTTTTGTTTATGTCCATTCGGTGCAGTGGAAACAATTGGCTGGCACCCACTATCAGGTACAGAATGATATGGTCACCACCCAATAAGATCACTATTGTCTCAATAAAAAAAAAAAAAATGTAATTAAATACTCTGAGATTTATTTGTTACCAGCTTTAACTTGAAAATGGTTCAGTTATTTGATTGTACTAGGACTCAGGTGTTGCCACCAGGTGTTGCCACCCACCAGAAAGTGTGAGACTAAAAGAAATAAGTTCTAATGAGTGGAGGAGAAATGGTGTGAGAGTCTCTCCATCGTTATACAGTGGCAAATCTTCTCCATCACATGACCTGGACAGACCACAGCACTGAGAGAAAAGATTCAATTTCCAGATCTTTTGGGGAGAGTGCTGGGAAGAACACATCAATTACCTCAACCAATGAATCTGTCAGTATTCTAGCCAGAAGGTGGACATAGAGACACTCTCTTTGGAAAAAAAAATACTGTAAAGAGATCACAATTGTACTATTTTTTTAATACAGTGAGGCCCGAAAATCCACACCAAAATGTTTTTACATTTATAAATTTGGAAATAAACAGGTTTGTGCAGTTTAATATAAGCTAATTTGTGATGTTAACAATGTTAATTAAACTTTTCACTAAAATTTTATGCTGATAATATAATTTGTAATTAAAAATCTATTCAACTACAAAATGGAAAAATCTAAATTTTATACTTCAGTGTATGTACAGAATCTAAAAAGTGCTTATTATTTTAGAAATTGATCAAAACATTTTTCAAATTGTGATCTTAATAATGTGAAAGGTTTAAAAATTGTGATCTTATTAGGGTGAGAGAAAAAGGCTGTAAAATTAATGAGAAAAAAGTGCACTTCTGACAGACAAAAAAAAACTATAAAGAGTACGCTTTAAAAAACTGTTGACAGAGGTTGCAGGGTGAGGCAATGAAAAAAGTGTGTGGGGGGGTACCCTTTCTGCCACAAAGCCAAGCAAAAACGTTGCATTTACTTACGATTTTATGATTTCGCATCATATTATCAAACTCTTCATTAATTTTTTTATATTTTTCTTCTGTGTGAGGGGTGAGGACATATGAAGCGTCAGGATCCGGGCTATCACAGCCTCTGTGTTCTTTCTTGTTAAGCGCCTGTAATGAACATCAACATAAAAAGAGGGATCAACACAAAAAGGCAGGGAGGAAGCAGTACTTACACCACAGCGCTTGTACATTAAATCACTTTCTTCATTTAGTTTGCCGAAACGATCGTCCATGAGGGGACTGTGACCGAAACAGTCATCTGGATCAGGACTGGCACAGTCGATATGGCCTTTGTTTCTTAATTTCTGAAAATGAAATAGGAAAATTCACACAAACATATACATATGTAAACCCAAACAGCTGTTATCGTTGGGTTCATTTAAACAATGCCAAAGCAATTGATAAATTAGTGAATACGACAGTTAACTCCTTAATAATCTAGGGCAGAACATTTTGATAAAATGCATAACTCACAGAATGTAATAAAGAAAAATACAGTTACTGAACTTTGCTACAATTGCATGCTGCTTAGTAAACACAGAAGAGCTGCGATCGGGATGTTGAAATTGCACTGTAACAGTTCAATGGATAATTTGGCAAATACATTAAGAGGTAATACACTGATGGTTGCACAATGCCTATTGCATTAGCCCCCGGGGAGGAAATTGAATTGTCACTCCTTATCCTTTCCCTTAAAAACATTAGGCTGGGGAAAACCAAATCGTCTTTTCTCTCTGCGTTTTTCTCCCTCCCTCCTCTTTGCTCTCTTTCTTAGGAACTTACATTTCCCTCAGCATGTGTGTGTTGTGATGCATATTTCATTATCTTTCAGTTATCATAAGCCACCCAGTTGGAAGACACACACACACACACACACACACACACATAAGAGGATCCCACAGTGCAGTGCTTTAGAAGCTCTCTCACTGTAACTTAGCACACCTGCCACTCACAGGAGCCTATCAGAATGAAAGCAATGTACAAATTGAATGAATTATCAAATCTGGTCACTAACATTTATTTAAGTGTGGAGTGGACTGATTATTCTAAGAGCAAAGTGCAAAGGGCACAGCACCTGCTGTAATATTAGCCATTTTAGCCAGAGGGAACGGAAGCTTTTTTTGTAGTTTTTAATAAATACAAGTCTGTATTTTGTTTGTCAGAAGGGAGTCTATTGGTAACACATTACTTAAGGCTTGTATAATACAATTTAATGTTTATCAATGCATAGCTGGTCCTTAAAATAGTGTAATACATTAAAACACATTATCACAACACACAATTTAAAGTACTGTCATGCGTTATAGTCTTTAAAGGTATAAACATTACCAGGAAAAAACTGTATTGTAGCCTATTATTAAGTATGTACGAAAATAATGATCATTTATGAAATACATCACAATTTTATGCATCATGAGGCATTATAATTAATTATGAAGATAATTTAATATTACAATTACTTTCTGTAATTAAAAATATATAATTTAATGTAAATTAATAATTTAATTAAATGCAATTTCTGAAAAAAGAATTGCATTTACATTATATGGCATTAAAAATATCTTCATAAGGAATAATATATTGCATATCAGATTTAAGTAAAGTGTTAACCTCATATTTTTCAAACTCTCCTTTACCCATTAGACAGGCTGCATTAACAAGATGACAATGAAGGCTGCCAGGTTCTCAAAAAAGGGAAATCATCATTTGAAGTTCTGGTCTGTTTCTTACTAGATGGAGCTCCTGTAATAAGACTCAGGGTGGTTTGGCAGCAGAAGTTACATGTTCTTTCAGATGAAAAAGTCATGTTTTGAAGGAAGTGAAGCAAAGCGCATATACACTAACAAGCCCCTTAGTCTTTCGCGATGTGTGTGAGAGTGTAGGTATGTGTGTGGGTGTGTGTGAGAGTGCCTTTAGAGTGCAGCTGCTGTCCTCTGGTATGTCTGTGACTGTAGAGTGAGATCTTTGTTGATCCTTATCTACTTTATCTAATGACATATGCAACCGAGCTCCGCACGGTGTGAACTCAAACATCAGAGTGCATTCGTACTCATGCACAGGAACAATCGATACATGTAGACAATGTGCTTATGTCTAAGCGAAACACAAAATGCAAGAGGTATACTGCTTACAGCAACAGATGCATGGCTTTTCTGGGACCATCTGTAACCATAAAGCTATTTAGTGTGGTGCCGAATGCGGCTCTCGCTCTCTCTTTCTGAGCAACGCCTTCCTGGGTCATTTCCTGTTTACAGGGCCCTATGTGGCTCTCTGAAACACTGTGTTTACCAGTGAAACTATGCACTTTCTCTCCCAGAGTGCCACAGATTCCATCAGGACCTGCAAATTATAGTCCCAACCTGCTCATTATGTGGCAAGTGCTGTGGCTGGAGCTGGACAGCGAGGTCTGTGTGAGCAGGGCAGGGCCGCTGACTTCCACAGTAACCCTAGGGACACACCGTCCGCTGGGGCCTGAGTCTGCAGGGAGGGGCCCCTGTGGAAATCGCAGACCGCCAGGCCGGCCTTCTCATGGGCACACAGTGCTGATGAGCACAACAACATTTCCAAACAAAGAATGCGATGGAACTACATTATATACCTTAATCAGAGTAGATGCCATGTTGAATTTTACGCATATGAAAAAGGGGGATGTGAGGGATAGACTTACAGTAATACAATGTCATGCACTGTATAAATGTTCTAGATGGTGTGTTTTTCAAAACTCACAAGTTTTTGTTTGTGTCTACCGAAAGTCCTTTGGAAAGATGTTTTGTCAGCTGAACTATTGGCATGTTGTTAAACAACCGTACACTGTAAAAAAACTCAAACAAAAAGTACTACTGCAGTCTTGCTACTTCAAAATTTCATGTTTAATTCAATGTGTTACTTGTTTCATTGTAATTATTTCTAAAAAATGAACTAGCAATTTCTGAGTGAAAATTGTTACACTGTTAAAAAGGATTTTACACAAATTTATTTTTAGTTTTACCTTTCTGTTTTACAAAAAGCAAAGACATTTTGTATGTTTTACAAAAAAAACTACTATTTCAGTCTTTCTAATTTAAAATTGTCACATTTAAACTAAGTGTTACTTGCCGTTTCTTTGTAATGATTTGTAAATTTACTAGCAATTTCTGAGTGAAAGTTATCATTGAACACACTATAGTTCTGTCCCTCACAGCATCGTTTTCATTTCCTTTTAAAATTTAAATATGGCGCCAAGGTCTATTGTGCATCCAATCAAAAACATAAAGCATATTGTGAGTCAAAATAAAACATAAATAGTGTGACATCTACCAAAAAAAGCAACACAATAGCATTAGTATGGCCTTTTGTCTTGCAAAAAAAATCACATTTGCACAATCCCATAGTGCACCATGCCCCCAAGTGCTTTAAAGTCTGAAGGACTGGGATGGCACTCTTCTTAAACGACTTGCCATATTTTGGGTGTACCAGAGACACTGCCTGCAGCTCTAGTAAACGGATCACTAAATCAGCACATGTCCAAACAGGTGTCCCTCTCCCCCAACACCTGTCACCCCCTTCACCTCACGATGCAGCCAATCGCGTTATGCGTTGCGATCAAAATCTGTCAGCACAGCACTACAGCAGAAAATAAGATGCTGCCAACAAGTGATGAAAGTAAATCCATTAAATACAAGCACAGATGGGGGCATGAGTTTGATTAAACTGGATCATTTGCATTCTCAATTACACCTTTAAGTGTACGGCTGCCATGATCTCTCATCAACAGGCCAAAGTGGCGACTGCATGCAACATCCTTCCGACCTTTGCAAAAAAATTAAAATTGTTTGTAAAGACAACACCAGAAGAGATGATGGTTGTGTCTCAAAATTTAGTGAGTTGCCCATTTAGTCAGTTTGTTTTTACTTTTTTATGTATTGGGTCGACCGATATGTGTTTTTCAGGGCCGATACCGATTATTACAGACCAAGTAGACCGATAACCGATATATATGTCTGGTGTAAAAATTTAAATTAATGTCAAAATTAAGAATAACAAGGGCTCTGACAAAAACAGTTTTTACTGGTGTTGGTTGTACTTCTTACTCTTGTCTTCTTCCGTGCATCCATCTACAATAACGGTAATATAAAGAGAGAGTTAAAAGTGGGGCCACTGTATGCTTCATGATTAAGCCTATGAATACTGTACTACAGCTAAACAGCTGTATTTACAACTAATTTACATGTTAGAAATGTATGTGTAATTGCATAACCTCTCATAATTCTTCACTGATTCTTTTCTGATGACTAAATCATAACCTACAAGAGGTGACTGTTCAATTCATCATCTAATGCACATCAATTGATTAACTTAAAAAGCACATAAATACTGTATGTATATAATAAGTGTAAATAATTGAATTGTCTTTATAGCTCCATTGTAGAAGTTATGAAGACCGCAAATATTTTAATGAAACTATAACACTAATAGCCTATTTTAGGCAAACTTGGTTCAAAAGCCTAATCTTAGCCTATGTGACAATATCTTAATATTGACCTATGTGACAGTAATTTCCATTAGTTTTCATTTACAGTGCAGTGCAAATGAAAGCATAAAACAATCAAATGAGAGTTAAACTCTATTTTTGGCAAACAAAGTGGTTTACTATTAAAATTAAAACATGGAAGAAATAGCGTATTGTGTGATTATTCTTTTAAATAAAAGTTGTAATAATTGTAGTAGTAGTAGTAGTAGTAGTAGCTAAACCGAACTTTTATTTTGACGGGTTGCCATGAGGACCTTTTAAGTTTTTGTAGCCTATGTATATGATATGACGATAGTTTTACTCAAAATAAAATGGTTAAATGCTCATGAAGTAACTCTCAGAGCAGTTCTGGGGATGTTGTTAATTTATTTATGCCTTCATTTAGTGAGACGGCAGATGCTGAAAACACCGTGAGCGTCACGCACTTCAGTATGTGTGTAGTAAACAAAACCGCTCGTCAGTGCCATTCACATATACAGAGACACGCAGAACATGCAGGATTCATATTTAAAGTCTTTTTGCGGCTTAATATTTACAGATACTAGTCCATAGCGCGAGTCGATTTAAGTGTACTGACCTACTTTTGATTAATTCATCCAAACTTTGACAAATTCCGTGACATTCCGAGTTATACAGTACATTCCATTTATATGACTGGATTCCGCGATTCCGTCTGCATTTTCCCCATCGCGGAAACCATAAATAGATAATATTGAGGTGTTTTGCAACTTCAGTGTAGTGGATTGTGATTTATTGTAACTTCAGAAACGTCTGCTGCTGCCTTAGAGAGACAAC